CTTATATCAGCTTTAGCCCTGCTGTGTAGACCTACCCTCAATCACTGATAAAAATGCCAGGAAACTACCAAGAGTGCCTTCTGGGCCTAGACATTGCACAGCATCTTGGCAGTGGCTAACCCAAATATCTGTATAACAGCCTCTTGCAAGAGGTGAAAGTCTTGTCTACACATAAAGCTGCACAGGGTTTAACTAAAAGGTTTAAACGCTAATTTAGGGAAGTCAGTATGAAACACATATATGGATACTCTCACATTGATTTCAGTCTGGGGTGTGTTGATGTACCTTAAATGGATTCATTACCACATTAAATTACACTTATTATTTTTTGCTGGTATTTGCTAGAGTGAGCAATAATTTTTGCAGGGGGAGGCCATGTCACAAGTTTTGGCAGTGGTTGTGGGACACTCCCGCAGCGGAGGAGCCTCAAGTGGGAAGGGGCTGTTCCCTTTAGGCACGGCCAAGCCCTGGTGGGAGGGAGGGGAGATGTCCCACGCTCCTCCATCCCTAGACCAATCAGGGCCTGAGGGCGGGGGTGCACACAAAGAGTCTCACTCCCGCCTCTCCCACCCCCGTCCTTGCCTCTGCCCTGCCAGGGCCATGCAGTGCCTAGAGTGAACCACCAGCTGTTTTGAACAGCTGACAGTTCACTCTAGGCACCATGCGTCACTGATGGGGGGGAGGTGACCTCACACACTTCCCCTGTTCCCAGACCGATCAGGATCTGGGGGCAGGGGACCATGCACCTAGCACAACAGAGATCTGGTCTCTAGGTGCTACAATAATGAAATGTCAGAGACTCACTCACTACTCTCTGCTGTTCATAATAGTGCAAAGAAACCAAGGAACAGCTGCTCTCTGTGACTCCCCCAGGATGTGCGTAGATTTCAAATGGAAAGCAGCCCAGCAGTTCCCGCTGGTCAGCTGAGCAGCATCTCCTACACAGCTGCAAACCCTCCCATATCCTCCTTGGCTTTGTCTACTGGCAAGTCCAGTAGGGTTATATCAGGTTGGCGGTCACAGGTTCTCTCATTATACATTGTGTACCACCATGCTTCACAGTAGTATCTGGAAGCTTCAGAGGGTATCCAATTTAGTCTGTACAGGATAAACTTTAAAAATAACAAATGGTCTGGTAGCACTTTATAGACTAACAAAACATGTAGACAGGCTCATGTGTTCTACACTGATCACTAAGTCACAATCAGCACTTGTGTCGAACAACACATTTTTATAATATAGGCAAGTTTCCCATGTCTGTCATGGTGCTGGAAAAAGCCCACACAAATCCCCCAACAGCTTGTGGGTGTCCTAAGAGCTGTTTGGATCTTGAGACTCATACAGTTTTCTGCAGTCAACCCCTCTTCAGTGTCAAAAGAGAGGAAGAGAATTTCCTGACCCTGTGGAGGAGTAGCACTTAGCCCCAGCAGTATTTGGTTATGGGTATTTGTGTCAAAAAAATCAACAGCATTTGTACCACAAGAACTAAATGAGTTCCAAATGCTAGTAACTTCCCTCATTCTGAAGGAAGACACACACAAGGAAAGAAAAATCCTCAAGGAAGAAACTACAACAATGCAGGAATTTCTTCTCCTTCCATCTGAGAAGTACAGGTGAGTACATAGGAAGTTGTGTCATCATTATTTACTATTAGTATAGCAGCACTCCTGGGTTCCAAAAGAGTGATAAGGACCCCATTGTACTAGCCCCTTTATAAGAAAATCCCTGTCCTACAGGACTTTCAAGAGTTAATGAAGAGACAGACATATGGGAAAAGTACAAGGTAATGAGAGGATTATGGACAATGTACTTAGCAGGTGGTTTAGCATACCAGCTTTCTAATCAGGGTCAAGATTTTTGTAGGCTTCGCAGCCAAGGAGTGGTTGAAGAAGGGATTTGAAGGAGGACAATGAGATAGCTTTATGGATGTTTACAGCACGGGACAAAGCATGTAAGAACTTGTTGGAAAATTTGACAAATGGGCAATCAAGACAGGCATCTTTGGCAGAAGTCAACAGCGTGATAGCATACGGATGATACATAGCATGGAGATAGGCCAAAATGGCCTTAAAAGTGAAGACAAGTAGTTTATGTTTGACATCATTTACATTTTATTTATAAAATTCAGTAAAATAAAACTCTGAAGTGCTGGTAATTCTATATTTGGTTGACACGCAGGCAGGAATCTACCAATATCTGTATATAAACATTGAGCTGGAGAAGTATGCAGTTCTGCAAACAGGGTTGCATTCACTCTGGGAATAAATGGAAGACAGGTGTCTGCAGGACAGTTCATTCAGCACTTTTCATAAACTTTACATTCAGGTATGGAGAAAAGTGATAAGTTCTTGAGAAATGGAAGTGTAGTGAATGTCATTGTTCTAACAAAATAAACATCTTGCTGATCTAGTTTTACAAGGAATCTACCACAGTTAAATGGAGTCTGTCCTCTCCATTCTCAACACGTCTTTCTATCCATATATTTTAGAAATGTGCATTTTTGCTGGTCTGTCCATCTGTCTGTGAGTCTGTTTGTTCAAGAACTCCTCCAACAGCTAGGACTACCAAATTTGGTATACAGTTTCCTCTTATCCTAACTTAAAGCAAGGTCAGGGTTTGGTTATGCCTGGAAAATAGGATATGCCTGAAATGGGATTGTTTTCCATAACATGGAAAGTGAGGGGCCTGATTGAAGGACAGCAATACTGCAAAGTAATCACTGGAGGCAGTGAGCTCATGGGGACAGCTATCCTGCAGAGTGACCACTGGGGCAGCCACAGTGCCAAGAGAGTGGCCAGCTGGAGATGAGGCTTGCCATCTCGCCGGACACCAGACTGGGTAAATGCCCCCCCTGCTCCAAACCCCTCCCTGCCACTTTTGGCCTCAGTGACATACTAGGAGAGGGACAGAGCTCCGCTGATCCCCCTGGATGGGGAGAAGGGAGGGAGAAAGCCCTGCCGGGTTCCCTGGCCTGAGCCAGGGGAGGGGCAAAGGAGAAAGCCCTGCCCTGGGCCCCCCACCTCAACCTCTGGGGACAAGCCAGAGGGCAGGATGCACAGCTGCTCCACCCTGGGCCAGCCCCTGGAGAAAGTGTGGGGCAGCATACATGGCCCCCCAACCCTGAAGACAAGCCAGCAGCCACCCACACCCCTGCTGTGAGCCCCTTCCCTTTCCCCTGAATTTCCCCTCTCTCCCAACCCCTGGTCTGATTCCTGCACCTCCACCCCTGCCCTGAGCCCCTCCTCAACCCCCCACCCTGACACCTGTGCACACACGCACACGCACACACACCACTGCCAGCCCCCTGCCCTGAAGATGAGAGAAGCCCTTATTCTTAGGGAAACAAAATTCTTCAGCAAATTTTACTCACAAATGGATACCACATATAATAAGCATCATTTTAAATTGACAATGAAATTACAGCATAAGCTGGGAAAACAATAGAATTAACTCATTAACTGAGTTGTCTTATTTTATTTGTTTTTCCATTTATGTTTTTAGTGTGCATCTTGCACGTCAGGAGCTGCTGTTCATCCATTATTCTGGGCCAAGAATGACACATCCACAGTCACTTGCATGAAATGACAAACATATCATTTTACAAAAGCAGATTAGCAAGAACATATTTCCTAGAAAATTTAAAAACAAACAAACACCCCAACTACTCCCTAGGAGCAATAAGCCAATAAAAACTATGGTTCAAGCTCAACTCTATATTTCTTGGTGCCAAGGATTTCCTTACTGGAAAGCTTAAGTTTTTGTTTTAAACGTGTCCAAGAAGCAGATTTTGAAAGATTTGAAAACACAGTCAACACTAAGGGCAAGATGTGCAAGGGCAGAGCAACAAATCACTCAAGTTTTATTTACGATTTTTTTTTTGTAACAGGGATTTGGAAGCCAGTCTTATTTATAAAAACTGTTCATTAGCTCTGATTAAAGGCATCAGGCTTTAGGAGGGATCTGCAGCAATCTCCAGAAAACTAGGTTTAAGTCATGCACCTCCCACATACTTACATAGCTTGTAAGTGTAGTCTGGTGTAAAACATTTGTTCATTATATTCTATGAAGTGAGTTAGCAAGCGAAACACCATCAATTTTAGAGTATGTGTGTGCGTGTGAGAGAGAGTGTGAATGTGAGTGTCAGACAGACAGAGACAAACACTGGTGTGTGTCTCAATGTCTCCCCTGGAAATACTGGGATTATTAAAATGTAATTAACATTGTCAATAAAGAGCAGAAACTGAGCAAATTTGGTTTTCCCAGTCTGGCAATGTCCTGGATTCATGCAGCATGAATGTGAAAAGCTTTCTGAGATTCTCACCTTGAGACAATTTGGGCATAGTCTAAAATTATGTGCAGCTCTAAGAACAATAAAAAGTCTGTTGTATTCTCCTAAAGTGCACTGTAATATTAACGATACCAGTATGAAGATGAATAGGAACCTTCTACTTCAAAATTAATCTCAGCGTCATAGGAAAGGCATACATTTTGTCAGAGTTGCAGCGCAAGCACAGTGCTCATGAGCTCTTCTTTAGCAGTGATTGAAGTTTTAAGTAACACCTAGTTTTATAAGGTAAGTGACACCCTGCTGAGATTAGAATAGGGCTGAAGGGATTTGAAATCGCTGATGATACTTCTGCGGTCAATGTATTCAATTCTAAACATGTCGTCTACCAAAAAAAGGGACCTGGTCCTTTTTACATGCATTTAAAATACCAGTACACTTGCTAACAGTGAAGTTAAAGGTCACTAAGCAGCAGAAGACAGGCCAATGATTTCATGACATTAAAAGGACACAGACAAAGTGGCTGGTTTGACAAATAAAGTTTAAAGAATAAATGGGCCTGGTGGAGCACGCACACATGTACCTGCTGCTGTGGCAGTAAACTGAAGTCAAAATAACCTCAGATGGTTCTCAGTCTCACAGGCCTACATGCAACTAATTATAACAGAAGCTGAAACAAAAGCCTCCCTGTCCATATTTTGGGGTTTGAACAAACCTGTTGGTAAGGTCTTGTCTGGGCTTGCTGCCTGAGTAGCCGCTGTTGCTGCTGCTGCTGCAGAAGTTTCATCTGAAGCAGCTGCTGCTGAGACGTAATTGCATGTATGGAGGGTGGTTGCATCATGGTGCCAGAACGCCTCTGTAGCATGTTTGACAGGGCTTGTTTGGTGTTCGTTGGAAGAAAAGATCCTGTAGGATCCAATCGGGAACCTAAAAAACATAAAATATAAATGTTTCTCCTTCCATTTAAAGCAAAAGGGACTGACAGATTGCTGTTAATATGCAGTAGAATATATGCAGTAGAATAAATTATGGTGGGCTATCTCTTTAAAGGCAGAGAATTGGACTGAGATTAATAGTTCCAGAAAGAACACTTGCCAGGCAAACATGGTTTTCAAAAAAAGAAGACCACCTTTAGAACAGAACTTTGCTGGAAGTCTATCCATGTTTCCAGGTTCTAATAATGGAGCTGGCGCCCAAAACTAACATCGGAGTGCCTCAGATATAAAGCTCAGAGAGGAGACAATTTCTGTGTCAAACACACAAAATAGCTTGTCATTTTGCAACAGTCTGACACTGGAAAAACCGAAACTAAAGTGCTTGCCCAAAGCAACATACACAATCCTGAATGGATTTAAGAAACATACAAAGATCATTTAATAAGAGACCATCAGAACCGTCTGAGAAGTACATCATTGGAAATACCTTTCTAGGAAGTGTTTTAGGGGGCAGATCTTGTAAACTCCTAAATTCTAGGTCCTTATCATGGCATGTGCTTGCCCAGAAAAGATTAATGTAGGTGAAGGATTACAAAGTAAAATATCTTACTTTGAAATATAGGATTAAAATTAAAAATGGACAAACTGGAGAAACTGTCTGAGGTAAACAGGATGAAATTCAATAAAGCGCTCCACTCAGGAAGGAATAATCAGTTGCACACACTGAAAAAGGGAAATGACTGCCTAGGAAAGAGAACTGCGGAAAGGGATGTGGAAGTCACAGTGGACCACAAGCTAAATATGACTCAACAATGTTGAAAAAAACCCGCAAACATCATTCTGAGATGTATTACAAGGAATCTTGTAAATAAGACATGAAAAGTAATGCTACTCAACTCCATGTTGATTAGGCAGGCCTCAACTGGAGTATTATTGTTCAGTTCTGGCTGACACATTTCAGAAAATTTGTGGAGAAATTGGAGAGAGTCCAGACAAAAATAAACATATGTTATTAAAGATCTAGAAAACATGATGTATGAGAGAAGATTGAATAAATGGGCTCTGGAGAAGAGAAGACTGAGAGGGGACTATGACAGCTTCAGTTACAGAGATCCCTTTGGGACTGTCACTTGATGTGTTGAAATATCCTGAGCCCACCAACCTGCCCTTTGGTACCTACTACCCACCCTGTCCTGCTGAGCCAGACCCTCCCGGTTACTCCAGTGCTGGCGCAGAGTTGGAATCACAGCTCAGAGGAGAGGAAAGTAGACAGTGAGATCAGCCCAGCTCCGGGAAGGGTCAGTCAAAGAGACTAGCCACATCACCTAGATGGACAGCCCCAATCGGACCAGAAGCCCAGATAATCCATCTCACTCTGTAAATTGTTGTATACAGAACAAGCTCACAATTTGGTTGCCTCCTTTATCAATGAAAGAAATATGCACAGCTGTTTCTCTCCCAGAACTATTATTTACACTGAGTTTATTAATAAACAAAAGTGATGCTATTAAGGGTAAAAGGTAGGATTCAAAGTAAGTTATTAAGCAAAATAAAACATGCCAACTAAGCCTAATATGCTAAGAAACTTGTTACATGCAATTTCTTATCCTAACGGTAGCTCTAATCATCTCTGCTCACAAGTTGGGAAGCCTCCCAACTTGGGCCTGATCCTTCCCCTTGTTTGGTCTTCGATTTGGTTTCTAGTAGTCATTTTGGGTGGTAACCAAGGGTCTCCTGGCATCTGTCAGCTGCCCTTATTGTTCGGTTTCCCTCCTTATTTCTCTTTTGTGTTCAGTTTAAGCTTTTCACACTTCCAGTGGAAAAATACAGCATCCAAGATGGGTTCCTGCATCAGGTGACATGGACACATGTCGTGGCAGGACGAACAATAGTTGAGACTTGTTTTACTGCAAGACTATTCATAGACCACTGCATATCTGCAGATATCCACTTCATAGCTGCAGACCATTTTTGTGGATAGCTACTCCCCCTTGTCTGCTCAGCCACCAGGCAGAGGGGTGGCATCAGCACAGGACCCCTGAAGTGCCAGCAGGGAAGGGACACAACAAATTCCTAAATCTCCCTGCAGGATGGGCTGAGTGCTGTACCTGACCGGCTCTCCCCTACCCTCCCGCTGGCCTGGTGAGTACTGACCAGCAGGATCCCAGACCCCGGTTCAAATCCAGACACATACTGCTCACTCTACATGCTGTTCTGTGCTCCTGACTAGTGCAACAGGCCAGGAGCACAGACGCAAAAGAATGAAATACTTGGGTTTTCCCACAAATTTTAAAAAAGTATGAGTGTTTGTAAGACACCCAAGGGAGGGGAATGCAGTGATATAGACAGTGTACTTCAACAGTGGTTCAAGCTTCACTATAATGAAGGTGCTATCTTCAGGCAAGATGATGATGATGAAATAAAAAGAGACTCGCTTGTTACACTATTGACCACCCATGATTCAGCAAATTCTCTGGCTTGGCACTAGTCAGGTCCTCAGAGTCGTGATCTAGAGATGTTCAGCCTATATAGATCTTGGCTGCTGGAAAGAGGCCCCTGGACTGGAACCCAAAGTAGTGGGTGGGCCCTGGTTCCCACGCCAGCCGATGAATGAGTGACACAGACATGGCAGTCACCTTGACGACTATCTGCGACTGTTCATCTGGTCACAGGAAGTGATTTAGCCAGAGCAGTGGATTTAAGAACGGTCTGGGATGGCACAGAGGACTTTGATAGAACACAGGAAGGGGAGGACCATTGTGACTTGGCCAGAAAGTTAAGCCATAAACAGAACGACCACAGAGTCACAGAATAAGATGATGAGCTGGGAAACCGAGAGAAAAGGACAATAGGCTGAGCTACCTCCCAGAGTGGCCAGGAGGAGGCACCCCAGCTATGAGTTATCAATACTGTGACAGCACTATTGTAATATCTCTCTATATATATTTTAGAGAGTTTGTGCATCTGTCTGTCTATCCACGAGTCAGTCTCTCTGTCTGTTCAAGAACTCCCCCTAAATGGTAAAATATAGGACAACCAAATTTGATGTGCAGCTACTTATTGCAGGGGTGGGGAAACTTTTTTAGGTCAGGGGCCACTGACCCACAGAAAAGTCAGTCAGGGCCTCACATAAGTGAGAAGCAAAAAACAAAACAGAACAAACCCCCCTCACTGCCATGGCCCCTGACTGAGGAAGAGAAAGACACTGCCCAGATTTCCCTTGCACACCAGCTTGGGGGGGGGGGGGGCAGCCTAGTAGATTTTGTGTGTTCCAGCCCCTTGGTGGAGTAGCAGGGCACTGGAGCACCAGCTCCTAGGCCATAGCTTCCCCACCCCAGTCTTTTCATATCTCAAAGCAACGTGAGATTTGGTTATGCCAGGAAAATGGGATAACATGGAAAAAAGGGGGAGGAAGTGTCTCAGAATAGAGACAGTTATACTCTGTAATGACCACAGGGGGCACGGAGTGCAGGGGGACAGTTATACTGCACAGTGACCACAGGGGGCAGGCCGCACCAGAAAAAGAGTGGCCAGAGCTTTCCATGTTGCTGCTAGTTGGGACTGGCAGAACAGCCCTGCTGCTTCCCCAATCCAGGAGCAGCTGTTGGCTGGAGCTGGGGGAAAATTGCCCTAGCCCTCCCCTCTCCCCCCAGAGGAGCCAGTGGACAGCCCTCTCTCCCCCTGAATTTCCCCCCTCCCCTCCCTCCAGAGGAGCCCCCACAGAGAGGAGCTACCAGCCAGGCAGCACAGCCCTGGGTGCCCCAGGAGGCTGCCATTACCAGAGCAGCACCACTCTCACTCCTTCAGGTGGCCCCAGTGAGCCCCAACACACCTCCAAGTCCCCTGCCTTGAGCTCCTCCTCACCCTGACCCCTGTAACTCCCCACACCAAACCCCTGCCCTGAGCCCACCCCTATCCTCAAAAGCCCCTGCCCTGACTCTTTCAACCCCACACCACTAGCCCCCTGCTTTTAGGGACCTGAGCAACATAGGGTAAATCATCTAATACATGTAGAATTGAGGATCACCCCAGAAAACCAGAGGGCTTGAAATCGCAAATCCCAGGGAAAGGTTTTGAAGCATACCATCCTGACCAAAGGACAGGGAAAAAGACAGCTATCTGAAGAAATATAAAATATTGATTCTTCCCTATAACAACCTCAATAGTTTAGCTTGCACCTTGTATGTATTTAGATTAGCATGCGGAGAATTTAAGCTTTACCCTATGTTATGTATAGGCTCTTGTTTTATATTATTTTTCTATTTCTATAAGCCTTGTTTTATTGAAACCCAGTTGTTTCAGGGAGATGATCACAAAAAGATTATATTATTTTTCTATTTCTATAAGCCTTGTTTTATTGAAACCCAGTTATTTCAGGCAGATAATCACAAAAAGGTAAAACAATTTCCAACTTTTAAGAGGTGGCAGTTAAGAGTATCTGAAATCTAGCCAGCTGTGGACTTTTGGTCAAAATGGCATGGCCTGAGGAGTACCTTCATGGACTCAGGGCTGTGATCCTCTGGCCAGATACAAAGAAGATACCCATATTTAACAGTCAAAGTGACAGGAGCCCAGATACCACACCTGTACTACCAAAACTATGGTATTTATGATCGCTGTGACTAGAATTGGACAGAAAAATTCCTATTTGAATAATCAAAGTGATTTAGGCACAGAGCTTTATATTCCTTCTCTTTTATTCCTTGCAAGTTTCCATTTCCAAGAGACTCCATTCCCTAATAGTTATTGTAGATGTTCAATTTGCCACTGTGCAGTGTCTGCGTGTGGGTGAATTAGTTCTGTACCAAAGGTTGAGCCTCAGCCTTCTCTATGGTGTATGGCTAAGATTGTTTGCCATCCTCCACACTAAGCTCAGCAACGCTGGCATTAGCAACGTTGAGACCCCTGGTGGGTATGGTTCTGGCATTGTTGGAACCCTAACAGGTACTGTGTGAAATCTTTTATGCTTATATATTTGTAACCAAACTTATACAATTTTTATATTGTATAATTTCCCTTCATAATGTGGTAGTAATATTTTATAACATTAAAAGATTTGCTGCATTAGCACTTGTAGTGTGCTAAATATTTTCATTGGTCATGGACATGAAATGAAAAACAAAAGAATTTATACTAACACACATGGCAAGCAAATGCTAACGGATACCTATTATTCCATGGCATTTATGTCCATTTTAAGTGGTACATTGATCAATTTACAACAAACCAACAACCAGGATTAGAATAAATTCAAAATCTACATCATGAATCAAAGTAACAAGGCAAATACCATTTTTTAAAATTACATTTTCTTAGTGCTAAAATGCAAATGTAATACGTTAGTGGGGATGATCCTCAAAGCTTTTCAGTTGAGAGAGTCAAGCCCTTGTAGTACATGAACTAAGGATTAAAACTCAGGACCTTCAGTAGTCACATCATGTTTTGGGGGAAAAAGACTAAGGTAAAAGTAAAATATTGCTGCTATTTCAAGAAGTAACATACTTATTATATGACAAATAATGTATCCCCTTTTACTTAAAAAGTCTACACATACCTGGTGTCAGGGGCTGGTTCTGAACAAAAAAACTAGGCTGTTGTGGTTGTCCCATAATATTATAACCCCACAAGGCAGACTGGGGATGATGCATCATTTGAGAGGAAATCGGTGAATAGTTGGGAGGCACTCTATATAAGTTGTTCTGTGGATATTCCTTAAACATACCATAAAAAAGGAATGTTACTGACATTCATACCCTACTCACTCATAAATAATGGCAGTTTTCCTACTAAATTATTTAAAGCTTGGAGATAGTTCCTATTGTAGTCTAGCATGCTGTAAAAACAGCATTCATTAACTATTCATAGTTAATTAAAAATGACAGCTTCTCTTAAATGTTCCATCTTACTACTTCTTATAAACAAGTATCTGCTGCGTTCCATAGTTGGCAACACCACAATCGTACAATTTATAATATATCAACAGATAACATGGAGAATCTAAAGTGAAACATCACAAAAGGCCAAAAAAACCCAAACCCCTATTAAAGTTACCGCTACTGCAGTGGTGGGCAATAACCAGCCCATGGGCTGGACTTGGTTCGCCTGGGTTAGCCCCTGGTGGTCTACTACCACTATATTTATATGCACCTCCACAGGTACAGGTGCTTGCAGCTCCTGTTGGCTGTGGATTGCCATTCCTAGCCAATGGGAGCTGCAGAAAGTGGTATCCCACTCCATACCGTTTTCTGCCAATCCCATTGGCCAGGAACGGCAATCTGCAGCCAATGGGAGCTGTATCTATGCAGGTGGTGGTAGAAGCCAGATGCTGCAGCAAGAGCCTGGCATGGCAATGAGAGCTGGGTGCGTGTGGAGGCAAAGGGGCTGCTGGGTGCAGCAGCAAGAGCCCAGCAAGCAGAGGTGGCAGGGCTGCCCAGCAGGGCTGCCCAGCAGGGCAGTGGGGACTATCAGGGCAGCAGGGGCCAGTGCGAAGGAGGAGCTGGCTGGAAGGCCAGCAGTTGTGCCAGGACTAGAGGGGGCTGGCAGCAGGGGGGCCAGAAATGACCTTCCATGGTCCAGCAAAATCCCTCTTCCAGGACCAGTCAGGTCCCAAGGATATCAGACCAGGGAGGTCAAACCTATAAATTTCATATTAATGTATAAGTATAATTTATTTTTAGTGCATTCTTGTACATCAGACCTTTAGGCAGGCTTGTCTGGTGACATTTTGTCTTATCACTTAATTTTATTAACCTTCTTCTTAGCACTTGATCCTGCAAGACAAATGCAGCAAAAAACCTTTTAATTCCTGGTTACTTGTTTAATAGTGTAGTTAGTCACTTACATCAGTTCTTGAGTTTGATTTTGTCTTTCTTTTCCTGCCTTTTGTTTTCTTCTCTTCATCTGTGCTCGGCTTTCCCTGATCTGACAGCTCTGCTGATTTCCTTTCTAGTTCCTGAGAAATGGGGGTTGTAGGCTCTTCCTCTTCCTCCTCAGGAGGAAGCGATAAGGGCTCGAGGTAGTAGCTTCGTGGCTTGGGTTTGGGATGTGTGTGGTATAGGAGAAGATGCTGCTGTTCCTCATACTTAATCACTTTCCTATCAACTCGAACTGTACCAAACCAAGCCCAGGAAAGTGGAGCAGGATTTTTATGACCCTCAAATAAATCCCAAGAGGACACTTTCTGTTTTGTTGATACCTGAAGACCCTGTTTCAAAATACAAAGTACAAAATATAATAATATATAATAATAATATAGAATAGCATTCTTAAAATGATACTTTAACAACAAAATAATGTGAATTGAGCTGCTTTTTGTGTCCTATATTAAAAATCAATATATGGATATGTTGTTTTCTTCAACACAAAAACATGCTTGTATGGGGATATAACTACTATCTGAGGCTGACACTTGTTAGAATGAATCAAGCTACAGTTACATAGTTTTGTTTGTTGATCACTCTAACAGAGGTTTTTTGAAAATATGGCTAATTTCCAATACGTTTCTTATGTTTCATCTATCATGCAAGAGATTCCTTGGAAATCAGTGCAAATAATCTACCTTTTAATTAGCAAAAATATTAATTACCAGATTAAGACATAGGACTAAAACAGTCTCTCAGTACATATATTCAAAATACATGTGAATAAGAGTCATCAAGAAATGTAAAATCTGGGTTGCAAAATAAAAAACGGAATAGCACAGTAGAACTTAAAGCCCTAGCTTTACTTTTACAATCTGAAATTTAAGTGAAAATGTATGTAAACCTACATAAAATCATAGAACACTATAACTGGAAGGGACCTTGTGTGATCATCTAGACTACGGGGAACGGTAGAAAGAAGATATGCAAATTCCATGGGAATTTACATATCTTCTTCTGATCGCACTTTTGAAAGCAGAGCTTTCGAAAGTGAAAGTAGTTAAGACCCGGATTTTTCGGCAAAGCCCCCCATCGTCGAAGAGCTGCTCTTCCTCAAAAAAGGAGGTTTATGTGGCTTTTTGCCGAAAAATCTGTGTCTTGACTACTTTCACTTTCAAAAGCTTTATCCAGAAAGGATAATGCCAGTTTTGGCCAGACTTTTAATATATCTTTCCAGACTGCAGTAACAAAGGGGAAAAAAGCATGTTTAAAGGGTAAGGCTGTGGCTGAACTCCTTAACCACCAGTGTATAGCCCATCCTGGACCCCTATTAATTTTTTTCATATCTCAACAAAGCCCATTGCTTCTTGTCCTATCATCAGAGGCCAAGGAGAACAATTTTTCTCCCTCCTCCTTGTGACACCCTTTTAGATACTTGAAAACTGCTTATTATGTCCCCCCTCATTCTTCTCTTTACCAAACTAAACGAATCCAATTCTTTCAGTCTTTCCTCATAGCTCATGTTCTCTAGATCTTTAATCATTCTTGTTACTCTTCATAAGAACATAAGAACGGCCATACTGGGTCAGACCAAAGGTCCATCTAGCCCAATAGCCTGTCTGCCAACAGTGGCCAGCACCAGGTGCCCCAGAGAGGGTGGACCGAAGACAATGATCAAGCGATTTGTCTCCTGCCATCTTTCTCCACCCTCTGACAAACAGAGGCCAGGGACACCATTTCTATCCCCTGGCTAATAGCCTTTTATAGACCTAACCTCCATGAAATCATCTAGCTTCTCTTTAAACTCTGTTATAGTCCTAGCCTTCACAGCCTCCTCTGGCAAGGAGTTCCACAGGTTGACTACACGCTGGGTGAAGAAGAACTTTCTTTTATTAGTTTTAAACCTGCTACCCATTAATGTCATTTGGTGTCCTCTAGTTCTTCTATTATGGGAACTAATGAATAACTTTTCTTTATGCGCCCTCTCCACACTCATGATTTTATATACCTCTCTATATAAAGGTAGACAACTTTGTGAGGGCTACTCATCTAAGGAAGCTGGTCTGCACTGCTCATTTATGAAATGTCTGGAACAAGTTTCATTCCAGAAATGCATTCCCAACATATCAGTTTCACATACCTAGTCCAAAAAGACCCTCCTTCAAAGGAGAAATAACTGTGCATGAGTTAACTTGCTTTACAGAACAGCACTTCCCAAATTTTGAGAAGCAGAGACTGTTCTCTCCCTTCAGGAAAAGGAAATCAATTGGGTACTTAACCTCCCTATCAAATCCCTCCAATGATTTTTAAAGGTATGCCCCCATCCTTTGTTATATGCCTGATATGCCCTGTGGGTAGGGGCACAGTTCACTTTTTAGGAAAGTTTGATTGTGAGGCTGGATGATTGTGCCCCGGTGGGGCAACAGTTTTTCTCAGACCTCCTCTGCTAGTCTCCTCCATTGGCAACATGCATAACAGATGGCAATCAAGACCCGAGATTGTAAAATTAAACAATAAAAAAGTCATTTCTGATCAGATTATAATGAACCTGGGTCTCGAACTCCAGGGCCCTTATTTGTAGAGGTTCATAATAACTTTTTGTTCAAATTTAATTAGTAAGGCATCTCCAATTTTATGTATTAATTAAAGCAAAAATAAAGTGAAACAATCAAAACTGGTAGATTTTGATTGATAATTACACAGGACTATCTAAAAAATAATGAATTTTCCACGGCTGATATCTGAACCAAATCTATCCAATCTTCTCAAAACTTGCAAATATCAGTGAGCTGTCCATCCTTTGTACATATGAATATGATGTAATCTGTAATTGCATTGCCAGTGATGACCTTAAATGGATGTGTAAGTAGGTTTAGAAAAACAGTTAGTTGGGGGGGGAGAGGCCTTGATGCTGTTTGGAGCAGGGTTTTTTGACTCGGTGACTTCCTGAGGTCTCTTCCAACCCATATATTCTATGATTCTAGGAGGGCAGACTGAGGATTTTGGGTTGGTTGTTTTTTTGAGGGGGAGTTGGCAATGAAATCTAGAAAGTGTCACCAGCTGTGTGAGAATTTTCACACAGCTCAAATTAAAAAGTATATTATCTCTAATACATGCACCCCTGTACCAATAAAAGGTCAATTATCTTGAAAAAAAATTCTAAAAGATACTCTTCCAAGAGGTTGAGAATTCTCAATATACCAAGAGCATCTATTTCTCCTCACAACTTGGTAACCATATGGACCTTTTTTTAAAGAGTGATTATGCATATAAAGACTTCTGCTTTTTAAGGAAGGCACAATAAAACAGAGGTACAGTACTCTCATAAGTTTCAGATACATAGTCATACACAGTAAAAATTTAAACTATTTGACTTGCATATGCATAAAAAAGTCATAATAAAATTGAGATGCTAAGACAAGCATTTACTCTTGCCTGTTTCTTATCTATAGAGTCAAATCCTGCAATTTTGTTTCCCTTGGTGTCAATCAAAGATCCCATCGGCTCACAGGTGATAATGTCACACGTCTGTTTTGGCAAAGGTAGCAACTGGCGAACTCTGTCAATACTTTCCGAACACTTGTCTCCTAGCTCTTTCTGGAGGGAAAAAAAAAGTTCAAATGTTACAATACTTTCACAATTCAAAAGCAGCAAGTTCCCAGATGAATTACTTAATTGAGTAATCGAGTGTTTTAACTTGGCCTTTGTTCCACCTATAAATCCTTTTGCAATTGCCTTTCATTTGACCAGAACACAGAAGATATAAACAAGATAAACAGGATTTAAGTGAAAAGCGAATTTAAAAGTCTCAAACATGACTAAATGGATGACAATATTTCTTCAGGTATTGCTAGGGTACTTGTTGCTGAAGTATCTTTTTTCTTTCTACCTCCCTCCCTTCACAGTTAAACTGATAAAATTAAAAGCTAGATCTAAACCATGATTCAACAGGAGTGCAGTTAAAAATCAGAGGTCCAGAACTTACTTTCAACTTTTTCACTAAATTCATGTATGCCCTTTTGTTTTCTTCTGACCCCCCTTGGGATGCATTTGATAGGTCAGAGGCTAAAGTTCCATTGATGAGAACTCCCAGCATATCAAGCACAGTTGTGAATAATTCACTAGGATGTAAAAAGACAAGTATTATGTTGCGTCTTGAAGAGCAATACTGACACATCTTGTAATAGAATTTTAAATGCTGGGTTAACTTTTATAGTAACATGATCATCAAAACATCTTGGAACTAGGTTATGACAAAGACTACTGACACTTGTTTAGGCTATGGAACCAGATATTTCAGGCATATTTTGCATACTCATGAACTCCATGCAGCTTGTATAACTCCCAGTGTAACATGTAGGTGCCTGGTCAAACAAGTGCACACAAATATCTGCAAAAAGGAGCCTATGTAGGTTATAACATCATATAAATTGTTGATGTAAATGGCCAATAGAAAAAATAGGCCCTGAATCAGGAAAGCACCAAATACATGCTTAAATACACCCCTACTCAGAATAGTATTTAAGGAAGTACTTAATTTTAAATTCTTGCATAAGTTGCCCCCCCCCCCCCCCCCAAGAGCACTTCCCCAAATCAGGGTTGTGACTACAGTAAGCTATGATAAACACATACATATGACACATACATTCAAAGTATTATAGATATTAATGAACTATTGAATAGTAAGAGTAACTTACTTGTTGGTTTGCATATCAACAGTTCCTGAAGTAATTATCTGAAGGAGCAGCAATGCCCAGTCTGTAGTCCACTGAGTACTTCTCTGCACAGTGTCAAACATTCCACCAACCTACATGCAAAACAATAAAACAAACATATACATGTTTACATATTTAAAAATATTTAATAGTTATACTAGATTTGATGGCTTGTCTCCACTGAGTAATTTATACATTAAATAGAGAAATTATTTGACAATAAGATTTGATTCTCCCTGCCTCAATATAACACTGCAAAAAAGGGCTGAAAAAAAGATTGCAATATCAGTCTTAACACATTTGACCTTGATCCTACATCCACTGAGGTTAATGGAATGATTCTCACTGATTTCAAAGGGTTACAATTTCTCTTTGTCCAAAATTAGAGTAAAAATAGTTAATGTTGCTGCTGCTGAAAGATCTGAAGAAAAGGATACTACCAATTGGTGACACTGGCTCACAGTTAGATTGAAATAGCTACACATTGCAACAAATTTGATGCCTTGACCATGGGAAGCACATGAACCTCATGTTACTGAAGAGTTGGGACTCTATACCCAATGCACTGTCAGCCAATCTCCTCCATCAGACTTTAGTGGAGGGCGGATCAGTTGCTAACCTCTGGTCTGAAGCCACATGCTAGGGAGATATTTAACTATAAGTTTTATTTGTTGCTTCTCTTGCTGTAGGCACAATTCAGTCTCTCTCAGTAAAGTCTAAGGCTTGAACTGTTTCCATGCTGGCTTTTTTGTACAAGGAATGTTCTTAGAGTGTGCAGAGTAACAATCTTAAGTCCCAGTCGTGCATCTACTGAAAGTCCACATTACTCATGAAACTGACTTAAATAGGAGAGGACTGGGTCTGTTGCCTGTAAGACTGCTCAGCATTGCACTTTCTCCTTGGTTAAAATCTGCTGATTTCACCCAGCTGTTCTGTTTTATTTTGGGGCTTCCCCATTTTGCCTTTGCATGCTGTTTCTAAGTGTTAGCTATTCTGCTGTGCTAAGCATTTATTGGGAGTTGCATTAAAATGAGGAAAATGCTGTTCAACCACCTCTCTCAACTTATACATAACAGTTAGAGGCCTAGGTGAAAATTGTCAAAGCTGATTTAGAATTTAGCCACACAGCTGCCACATGTGGCAGAATCTTCTAGTTATGGCTGAGATTTTCTAAGCTGACAAGTGCGCATTTCCAAAAAAGTCATTTTATATCAACATATAGTGACCAGTTCATAAGGACTGAAGCTTTCAGCTTCCAGAAAAAGGTAGCATATTTGTGACATTCTGCAAACATAATATAGGTAAGGGGGAAAAGGAAGAAAGGACAAGAGAAAGGGGGGGAAATGTTGATTCTGCTAGGGACCTTGCTATTGCTATTTGATTTTATGTAGAAGGTACCAAGGATATGGGCAGCAGTACAAAGCCCAATAGGCAAGCAGGCAGACTTCATTATTCTCCACATTTCTTGCCTTTTATTGTTAACTGCAAACAAATGTTAAGTCAATGGCTGTTTTAGATAATACAAATACAAAGGAAAATGTATTCATGCTTCTTCCTTACCAAATTAAGACGTAGTTGTAAGGCTTCATGCATCATCTGCCTAGCTTTAACATCATCCTGGTATCGTTCTTCCCTCCAGTTACTTAGGATCTAAGAACAACAGTTATTTGAATATATGTAGATTTTCCCCATTTAACTGTTAAATAGTTTTACCCCTCCCGTCTTGATACAGTCTTATTTATAAAGAACTATGGAAGAATTTTCTCACTTTTAATCTTCATGCCTTCATTGAATTTGGGCTCGATACATTTTAGCCCCATTTAATGTTTATATCTACAATGAACTGAAATAGAGGAGATAGTTGTTTGTTAGCTTTGATAGTGAGACTATAACTTGCTACTGTTTTTATAAAGGGAAACATTTTTTATCATCCATTCTGTTAAATGAATATTTTCCGCCACATAGAATACTACAGGCTAAGAACTCAGTCATCAGGTTTGATACAGTCTCTCACAATATTCTTGTCAGCAAGCTAAGGAAGTATGGATTGGATAAATGGACTGTAAGGTGAAAAGAAAGCTGGCTGGATTGTCAGGCCCAATGGGTAGTAATCAACAGCTCGATGTCTAGTTGGCAGTTCGTTTCAAGTGGAGTGCCCCAAGGATCGGTTCTAGGGTTTTATTCAACATCTTTATTAATGACCTGAATGAGGGATTGGATTGTGGATGACACTAAGCTAGGTGGAGAGGTAGATACGTTGGAGGGTAGGGATAGTGTCCAGAGTGACCTAGGCAAATTGGAGGACTGGGCCAAAAGAAATCTGATGAAGTTCAACAAGGACAAGTGCAGAGTCCTGCACTTGGGACGGAAGAATTTCAAGCACTATTACAGGCTGGGGTCTGACTGGCTAAATAGCAGTTCAGCAGAAAAGGACCTGGGGATTACAGTGAATGAGAAGCTGGATATGAGTCAACAGTGAGCCCTTGTAGTCAAGAAGGCTAATGGAAAAATGGGGTGAATTAGGAGGAGAGTTTCCAGGAGATCTAGAGAAGTGATTATTCCCCTTTATTCAGCTCTGGTGAGGCCACAGCTGGAGTATTACATCCAATTCTGGGCCCTCCACTATAGAAAGGATGTGGACACAGTAGAGAGGATCCAGCAGAAGGGCAACCAAAATGATTAGGGGGCTGGAGCACATGACCTATAAGGAAAGGCTGAGGGATTTTGGCTTATTTAGTTTGCAGAAGAGTGAGGAGGGATTTGATAGCAGCCTTCAATTTCCTGAAGGGAGGTTCCAAAGAGACTGTTTTGAGTGTCTCCAGATGCTACTGCAAAGCCAGGGACTAGATCTGACACAAGTAGCATCTAGAGACACTGAAAACAGGCAATAAAAAGACAGACAGTATCAGACAGAGCTTACAATCTTGAGGGCTAGAATGGGAATCAGGTGGGAAGGGAGGAACTGGTGTAGAAGTGGCAGGGAAGATGGACATGTGAATGTATAAGTTTGCAAAAAAAAGTTGCAGGGTTGCTTTGGAGGACTAAATAATTTTCGGATAAATAATTTACAAAAATATTAATATACATTTCTAATTAGCATCAACTAAAAAGAGAGACCTTTTTCCAGAAAAATAAAAAAATTATAATTGGAAAAACTCAGACATGAAACGATGGGAGGGGTTTCCCTGTCAATGAAAATCCACAATTGCTTTTATTCTATTATTTTTAGAAACACTCTAAGAATGTTATTGGTCAGTGAGCAGGAAAAAGTTATTTTTCATTTGCTGTTAAAGGAACATTTGCTCATTCTTATGAGCAGATAAGCTCAAGTTTTTTTCATCTTCAATTCTTCCTTCATTTGACAATTCATTTCTGCAATCAGTGGGCTGACCTTTAGGAACCTTCCCAGTTTCGCATGATCTGATACACATAAAACTGATGGCACAAATATCAGGTGAAGAGTGCTCATTAATACATGTTTGTTTTACCTGATTAACTTGATTTTGCAGTGAGGTTAGAAGCCCTTCCCGTTGCTCATCCTGTCCTTTAAGGCAAGTGAGTACCAAAGAAAGGAAAGGCTGCTGACTCAATAGAGACATGCTTTAAAAGAGGCAAAACACATAAGACTCAATTAGTAAAATGATTCTGATACTTCCCTTCTCCATTTCCTTCCTTCCCTATAATTTTTCCTTGGAAGAAAATGCTGCTGAGATCTACTTCAGCTTCTGTTTTAGTAAGTTACAGCCCTGCAAGCCAGAAATTAAACAAAGTGTAAAGCAGAGAGTGTATAAAGTGGACCGATCCAAGCATAAAGAGTCAAATCCTGAAGCTCTGTGGAGCTGAACCCTTCACCCCCTGTTTCAGCCAATAGGAGATGAAGAGGCACAGCACCTTGCAGGACAGTGTCAGGACATACTCTGGAAAACATGAGCCATTTTTAATCCATGTTAATAATCCATGTTAAAAATCCCATGAACACACTGCAGGGGTAGTTTTAATCCATGTTAGCTGGGCACGGTAAATCCCAGACCTTTCCTGAAGGTTTACCTCATTCTTCTAACATGCTTTTAAAATAACACTTGCCTTGTCCTCCCTAGGATTTTAATGGGTTTTTTTAACTCATTCTTCTAACATGCTTTTAAAATAACACGTTCCTTGTCCTCCCTAGGATTTTAATGGTTTTTTTTTAAGTAAAGTTAATGACCCTGTGTTAGAATCCTAGTGAAGAGAAGGCTGTTGTAGTTTTAAGCTATGTTAACTGGTCCCGGTAAATTGTCTGGGAATTGTAACAAAATTTAGCTAATATGAATTAAAAATACAACTTTTCCCTAGTGAAGACCGACCCCCAATAAAACTACCATTAAAGGGTATAGGAACCGTGTTGGAGTAAGAACTTCAAGACCCAGTCTAATGGAATATATATTCAAACAGAAAATTAAATAAATGTGCAAACATGCAGTAGTATATGAAGGAAGAAAAAAAGTAAAAACTTCAGCAGAGGCCTTTGCATTCAGATAAGCTTAATTCAGTTGTTTTAACATTGTTTTAAGCTCCATCTACCCTATGATCTAGGGTAATCCTACTTGAGTACACACACACACACACTAACTCTCATCAAGCTAGCATGAGTACAAATAGCAGTATAGCCATGGTATCAGGGATAGAAGCAGCACACTACACAGATCATAGCCACCAGTGTATACTCATGCTAACTCAATGACAGCTAACATGAGTATATGTATCAGGGATAGAAGCAGCACACTACACAGTTCATAGCCACCAGTGTATACTCATGTTAACTCAATGACAGTTAACATGAGTATATGTGTAACAAGCAAATGAATCACATCCCTACCTTATAATGTAGACACATCTTTCACTGTGTAACACTCACTGACAGTTCTGCACACCATTATAGATTATAAATCAAATGTACGTATTAATTTCAACACATGCACGTCTGCATACAACTGTTCAACAGCTGTATTCAGCATTTAATTTTTGCTTTTATAATTCAGGGGATAAGTAGTTAGAAGGGTCCAAAAATTCCAAAGATATAAAAAAAAGCAATGCAGAAAAACTTTTCTGTTGAAAGCATAAGTCAAAGTGTGATTTTGGCCCGAGTAGTGGCCCTAAGGATGGCACTATAGCAATCCCTATTCATTCTCTCAACAATTTCTATAACACATTTGCTCTTCAGAAAAGCCCAATGTGGATTGTTATAATTGTTATCATTGCTATCAAACTGATCTGAAAAACGAAACAGCACCCCCCAGCTCTTACGTCACCACAACTGATGATAAAAATTCTCCGATCAGGAGCTTCTCTGACAATAATGTAGATGATATAAGACGAAACAAAGTTTAAAACTCTCTCAAGTGGTAAAGGCTTTGCCATGCAAGCACCAGTAAAAGTTTCTCTCTTTTACTCAAGTAGATGCATCTCAGTGTGCCTTTACTGAAGCACTACACATGTAATTTTAACTTCACATCAACATATACTCACTAGTTCTGATTTAGGTAGTGCACTACAAATAGAAGTGAAGCCATGTTAGCATAAGTGGTCTAGGGTCTAGTACAATCTCATCTGAAACCAAAGGTACATGCTTGGGTACTAGCCCCTCCTGCTGCCATGCACATACTTCTTCTTTTAGTACTCTGGTGGGGGTTGGTCTAACTATGCTGGAAATTACAACTTCCTGCTCTGGCGCAGACATGCTCAAAGACAAAGCATAGATATAAAAAGTCTATGAAAGTTTTCTCTTGATTGTCACAGGAACGTTTACGCAGGAGAAATTTCCAGATCTTCACATGGGGATGAGAAGATTATATCAAAATGAGGGGGCTAACTTTTCTGTGCACTGGGAGACTCTTATGGGCAGGAAGGGAGACTCTTATGGTTTCATCTTAGTGCGAACTTTTCTGTGCACTGGGAGACTCTTATGGGCAGGAAGGGACTGGTTTCATCTTAGTGCAGAATCTTGCTGCTGAAATAGCAAACTGGCAAATGTTAGAAGCTTAAACAAACAAATAGCTAGGAAAAAAACAAAGAGGTACAAAGGAATACTCAAGTTAATCAAAGAAATATGCTAAGAACGTCAGTAACACAAAGGTGTTATTTGTATCCAGTATAGGGTAGGGCAGAAATTATAACTGACTTGGAAAAGGAACCAGCTTGAGATCAAAGAGGTAAGCTCCAAAAAAAGTGTGTCAAGACAAAAGAATTAAATAATATATGGACACAGTAAAAAAAATATGAAACCAAACTCACATGTCTCTATACAACCAGTATGCCTAGCAATGGAGATTACCTCAAAATACTAGGCATCTCTCAAATATGTTGCAATGACAAGATAAAATTCACTGTAAATTATACAGGAAGGATAGGTTATGTTGCAGGGGTGGGGGAATAGCACTATACAAAAATTATTCCATAGAATCTAACGAGAATCATACAGTATTGTCCATATAGATACAAATGCTAAATGTTTTGGTAAAGTCATATTACTGGTCTATTAGTCAGGAAAAATATGCTAAGCACATAATGCTGAAGCAAACAAAAAAAGTAACAAAATATCATGATGTTGCAATCATGAGTGACTTCAACTATCTGCATATAGAACAAGGAAATATCACTTGATTTAGAGAATCTGGTACCATAAGTTATGATTTCTTGGAACAACTACACAAAAGGAGAAGTTGGTAAGAATTTAAAGGATGTAATTAATTACAGCATCCAGGGTAATTCATAGAATAACTCTAAGGACATACAAGGAAGCAGTGCAGGTCCAGGTACAAGATTATCAATTTTTCATAGGCAAACAGGTGGCAAGTTTTTGAGACACACCCCTACGTGTAAACTTAGGTATGACACTGCCAAAACACAATGTTAAGACTGACATTTTAATGGTTATAAAAATATCCTGTGTTGGAGGAAGGCAAGAGATGGCAGTTGTAATTTGGGGTGTATTAAATACATATTGATTTCACATCCCTTTATTATTCACGTTTGCATAATATTTAATCCGAGTCCTGTACACCCATTTGGAAATGGAAACATTTAGTGAATCTCTCCTCCCCCCACTTCCCTCAAAACTGACTGTTTTTGATAAAATAGAACTAGGATCTGAACCACAGCTGATTTGGGGATTTGCAACACCAAAAGATGACCTATGAGATTTTCAAAAGCAAAAACACAGCCCCCCTAAAGCTCTACTTTCCGTGTGCCTTCTGAAATTGCATACAAATATTGCTAACGGTTGTACCTTTTTTGCTTTTGTCTATCTCTCTCCTTCTTTGAGGATGATCCCAAATGCTGACCTTTCTCTAGCTCTTCTCCAGCAGCTTTCAGGACCCTACCCTGAACTGAGGTAGGCAGTTTTGCAATCAAGGGAGCCACCAACCATACGCCTTGACGTTCAGAAGAGCTGAAAGCAAAATCACAAACTTATTTCATCCAGAATCTCAATCTACTCTTGACATAATATTCAGTCATTGTAACCAATGCAATGAGACAGATGATACAGTTTTTCTAGGATAACTAGTATTTGCAAAGCAGCCACAAATGCTACATTCCAAAAAATTGGGGGCTAACACCAATGTTTACTATAAAACAAAAGTAAAACAGTAACCTTCAAGGTATCATTTCCTGAACATTCCCATTTCAAAGGCAAAAAGCCTTTATACGTGTCAAAGTTTTCATTTAATTCTATGGATTATTAACCATTAAGTCAGTTAAAATAATTAAAAAGGTGCTACACAAAAATACCTTAGGAATGTCTTTTTACCATTCTGTCTTGTATTACTTGTGTCAGCATTTCCAACAGAGTTTGGATTGAAGAGGCCTATACCAGAGTTAGAAGAGTTATTGTTTAGATCAGCGGATTGCTGAAACACCTCTATTGTCGCCTTTGCAATATTATCCAACAAGCTGTTCATTTCAGCCACAGACCCAGAACCCTACAGTGAAACATAAGTAAACTAGCATATTCATGGTATGTTTGCTCATGGACTAGGTTCAAATTTTACATACTTTATTAAATTAAATATTTTATAAGCACATTAAAAGAATCAAATACTTACAGGCTCCTTCATGCACTGTTTGATCATTAGCTGGAGCTCCAACCAAGACTGCCTGAGAGTCCATTGATCTAAGTTCTGAGTAAAATTATTAAAATGAAAAAAAATGTTACGTTTACAGTAGAATTTTTAAAAACTCTCTAAATTGAAACAATTGAACTGATGTCAACACAGCAGGTTCTCACATTGTTCTTTACAACTTTGGAATCTGTAAATTTTTCTAAATAATTCAAGGATCTAATAGTCCATATATCACCGCTTTGCATTCTCCCTACCTATAATATAAGCTCATCAATATTTTTAACCAGTTCAAATTTTTGGATGTGACAAATCTTCTGATGTTACCAACTCTGCTGTGTTCAGACACAACTATTGAAATCTGAATTCACTGACAGGATAGTTTGTCCTCAGTACAGATCAAATCACACACAGTATTATGTCACCTAAATATTATGTCACAAGGTTTGATCATAATTATCTGACATTAGGATGAATATGATTTGTCCATGTCCACACCAGCCAGCATAATCTTAGCTAACTCCATTCTTCATAATGCTGTTTAAACAGGATACAATTTTCTAATGAAAACATGTCCAGAGCAGAAGCAGATGATAAAAGAATCCACTAGGCTTGAAATCGCTGTTTTAACAAAACAAAACCAGTTCTGTAGTTCTGTATTATTTAAACATTGTCATGTAGTTAATGTGCTTGGCTTTAGTGCCTCCTATTTACCTATAGTCATTTGGATGCTATGGGAGTTCCTGAACTTTTTATCTATTGCACATGAAATCAACACCACAAATTTTATGTTGTGAAAGTAATCTGTCATGTCTATACTATAAGTTGTGATTACATGGCTAAAATCATGTAGATTAGCTTGTTGTCAGTTATGTTTTCAAGGGGGGCTGTAAGTTTACATAGGAGTAAAAAACAAGGATCTGAGTGGGCAGCTAAACAATTTCCAAGTCAGACCAATGCAAAAAATAAAACCTTTCAGTTATTGAGGCAAGAATATTTTTTCATCCACATACTGGGGCTTTACATGGGAACACATATTCCCATAAAGTGTTTTTCGTTTATTTTCCCCACACTAATAAGTGCAAAAGAACAGTTAGGTAATTCTATAGTTGGGGTGGGATTTACCACCTGGAGAATGGATAGGGAGTTTGGTCCCTGCCCACAGCCTATGCTCACTAGTACACACGTTTCCTTGTACTTCTCCGTTTGTATGTATTTAACCATTTTCTCAACTTGTGCTGAGATTTTAAACTTCTTGGGTCAGGGATGAGGTCCTCATACATGACTGGGACTCCTAAATGCTATAGTAATACAAATCATAGATAATGAAAATATTGTGCAAGTGACTGGAGTGTGTGAAAAACCCTGTGCCTTTACACTGGCTCAATACGGCTCTTTTGCAAAAAACTTATCAGCAATGGCTACGCCCACTGCTATCCTAGAACCCTCCTCAAATTCAGCCCAGAGATAAATACAGGCAGTCCCCGGGTTACGTACAAGATAGGGACTGTAGGTTTGTTCTTAAGTTGAATTTGTATGTAAGTCGGAACTGACTTCCAGATTCAGCCGCTGCTGAAACTGACCAGCGGCTGACTACAGGAAGCCCGAGGCAGAGTTGCTCTGCCCTGGGCTGCCTGGAATCAGCCGCTGATCAGTTTCAACATGCTGAATCTGGACGCCAGTTCTTACATACAGATTCAACTTAAGAACCCCAGGAGTCCCCAAGTCAGCTGCTGCTGAAACTGATCAGCGGCTGATTCCAGGAAGCCTGGGGCAGAGCAACTCTGCCTCGGG